CACTGGCCAGACCAGTGCCTATATATGTGCTCAAAGCCATGATTATTTCTGAGAGCAGTCTCAGCATGAGTGCACTTCATTTTGGGTTAGGCAGAACTTGGAGATTTCAACCCTGTCACTGCAAAAACTATCATCTTCTGAGCGTCCTGCTTTTCCCTACATCTCAGATAGCAGTGGTTTAAGTTGCTGGCTGGCTGGCTGATCCCCGGGGAAGGGCACTGTGCACATGTGGGCTTCTCCCAGAGACTCTTGTTCAGTGTGTCTGGGGTGAGTCCCAGAAGTTGAGTTTAAGTCAACCAGTTTTGGGAACCTCTGCTTTTTTTGCTGTTGTAGTCCCATGTGTCATTGTTTTAACTTTTTTATTTTGAAAGAATTTTAGACTTACAGAAAAATTGTAGAAACAGTGTAGAGAGTCTCTCTGTATCCTTCCCACCGCTTTCCCTCATATTAACGCCTTGCATAACCATAGGACGACTGATAGAAACTAAGAAAGTAACATCAATTCAGTACCATTAACTGAACAGAGGCTTTTTTCACATTTCACAAATGTTGCCACTAAGGTCCTCTTTTGTCTCCAAGATCCTACTCAGAATCCCACAGTGCATTTAGCCATCATGTCTCCTGAGTCTCCTCTGATCTGGGGGGTGGGGACATTTGATGACTTTGACACTCTTAAAATGGACTGGTCAGTTATTTTTTTAGAATGTTTCTCAGTTTGGGAAACCCCTACTTTTAATGGACAGGGTTTCATGTACCAAAAAGTCCAAAGGGGCATGACTGGACCTGCCATTCTGACTCCACTCAGCAGACGGAATGAGGAGCACGTAAGTGGTCGGGGTTGAACAGCAGTAGGGCCAGTGACCACCTAACCGAGACATGAACATTTAAAGCATCTTAAAGTTCTGACAATAGTTTAATCCTAGATACAGTGCTCCTGGTATACTTGATAGAAAACAGACAATCTTTAGAATCTTAGGGATTTTTAAAACATAAAAAAGCTTTTTTTTTTTTCACATTATGTTTGACATTATGTGGAAAGATAAAAGAAGAGAAAACATCTGGCAGTGATGCAAAGGTGAAAGAGCACAGAGCGATCTCCAGCATGTGGAAAGAAAGCTTGGTCCACTGCCCATCGCTGTGAAGGATTATCAGGGCATGTCCTGTCAGCCTGTGAGCCCAGCACTTTGGGAAGCCAAGGCAAGAGGGTCATTTAAGGCCAGGAGCTCAAAACCAGTATGGGCAACATAGTGAGACCCGGCCCTGTAGAAAAAAAATATTCTACGTTTAGTAAGATTCACATGTACCCTTATAGGATAAATCATAGGCGTGATCCCACCAATCACCCTCCCTCCACCCATCCTCCTCCTTCCCCTCCCTTTCCCCTTCCCCTGTATTCTTGGGCTAAAATTGGGTTACACAACAACTAAGAAAATGACATGAAGGCTATGTTAACCAGTCGGATGAAAGTATTACAAATTGAATATAGAAACAACCCACTATACCCCATGATAGTATTAACGTACACAGCTATGACTTAATAAAAAAAATATATATATATATATATATCAATAAAACCTAGCTGGGCATAGTGATGCACACCTAAGTCACAGCTACTTTGGAGACTGAGGATGGCATGAGCCCAGGAGTTTGAGGTTGCAGTGAGCCGTGATTGTACCACTGTACTCTAGCCTGGGTGACAGAGTGAGACCTTTTCCCTTGAAAACAAATGTCCTGCCAGGTATCAGGACATGGCTGTTCCCAGTGACAGCTGTGACCCACCATCCTGGCCCAAATGCTTACTGTGTATCCTTGTAGCAGTGACTCCATCTCTCTGAGCTGCCGTTTGCTCACTTACAGTGGAAACAACAACAGAGCTTGTCCTTATCTTCCCAGTAGAGCTTCCGTGAAGATGAAATAAAACAATCCACATAGACACAGACCAATGCCATTGTTCTCAGATCGGATTCATTTCAGTAAAGAGCACTTCGTGAGATGAAATTTTTTTTTGAGTAGGAAAAAAAGAACTTATGGTTTTCCCTTGAGTCCCTAGACAGTTCTGTGCTGCATGTTGACAGCAGAGGTGCCTTTGTCAGGTCCCCCCGCTGTCACTTCAGCATCATGGGAGCTGTCACCAGTGCTTGGGGCACAGAGCAGCTGCTGCCACCATCAGAATGGCCCATGCTGTCTGCGGTGGAGCTGCAACACAGGTGGGGACAGACATTTCCACTCTCTTCCCTGCTAAGTGGCTTCTGAGCTTTAGGAGGCTGTCACATGTGAAAGGCTGGAGACCAGCTTCCATTCAGCCAGAGCATTCAAGCAGAAATGGGCGGTGGGGAGGGCCAGGTCTGAT